GCCTGAGAAACTGAACAAGTTCTCATATGTTTTTTTAAAAGTGGCAGAAACATTGATGGGCAGCAGCTCTGAGTGACAGCTGTCAGAGGGGGAGAAAACAATTGTCTTCATAGTTTGAGACATATTCTAGTGCAATTCTGTATGAACTTGTTTATTTGCCAAAAGAAAATATAGGTCCGGCAAAATCAACAAGGTCAGCTGGAAAATGTGGATTTTGTAGATTAACACTCAATCTTTCATTAGAAAAAAAGTCAATTAATTGCTGTGTCTGGAACCACTTTAATCAAAGTTGAATTGTTTAGCTGTTAATTAACCTGATACAGCTCAGTTTGAGTGAGCCCATTAACCTGCATTTTCCTTAATGTAGCACTTTTTCTCACTGAAGTTGTGTTGAGTCCTCAGCCTCGTCTAGGCTGGGATGCCTTGAGGGTTATGTCTTTTTTTAGACAAACACAAGGATTTTACTCCCAGTAGATGATGTGGGATCTCATCAGAATCGTGTGACTCCAGATATAATGGGAGAGATAAAAGTTTGTTAGGGCCTACTGGGAAAGAAGGAGACCTTGTCTGTCGTAGGCTGGGAGCCAGGGTGCTCTAAAAGGGAATGCTGTTTTAGTGAAACATAATCATTTAAATTTCCATCAGAACTGTACTTTTGAACTTGTAAAATTTTATGCAAAATAAGTGAATACAGGCAGCACTTTCTATTTTTTTTTGGTGACATGAAAAGCAGAGTTATAACTGAGTTCAGTCAGAAAGACCAGATTTCTTTTAAGTCAAATTATTTAACTAGAATATCTTCAAACCGTGTCATTGGAAAACATACAAGGTAGGATTTTTCAGAGTTGTTTTTATTTAGCTGGTTTCATTATTAATGAGGTATTTATCACTGGCTCACAGAGGAAAGAACTCAGGAATGGAGCCCAAATAAATATGATCCAGGACATGAACTTCTAGTCCTTGCTATGGCAACAGTTTTGTTAGAAACTTAGAATATCAACTCAAAGCCTATGTATTTTTTAGAATATCATCTCAAAGCCTATGTTTTTTGGTGGTTTTCTGCCCTCTTCCTGATTTCCAGGCTAAACCACCATGTTCCTGAGGTATACTCTGGCCAAATCAACCACCACTGGGCAGTGTGGGGGCCTGAAGACAGGAGTAAACAAACCACCCATTTTAGGTGGAAGAAAGAGTAGAACATGTGGATCTCACAAAAGCTTAAAGCCAGAGAGATTCCAGTGAGCACACTGAGCTTGGATGTACATCTGTATGCTAGAATGGGCTAGAAGGGTTAGAATGGGCCCTTCCCATTCAGGGTAGGCATGTACCAAGGTGCAGGTCCCAGCACCTGCACAGGTGCACACACACACACACTCACACCCCCTAACATCACCCCAGCAGCAAGTTTGCCCTTCTTCTTCCTCTGCCTGAACAGGTCTGCAGAACACTGCTAAAACATGCACACCCCTTCCCACTGTAGATGCACAAACACATCACACTGATGGTCCCTTAAACATTTTCCTGAGCTCTGTTACCCATATCAAGACCTCAAGACTCTTACCCAGCCACCAGCTCCCTCTTTCCAGATGTGTCTCCTCCCACTCTCTGGCTGGTTGAGTTGGAAGTTCCCTAGAAGTTACAAATACACATGCACATTGTACAGGATTAGATTAAACAAGTAGGGTTAATTAGAGAAAACCACAGACAAATTTAAGACTGTTGCTAGTACCCAGTCCTACAGGCCCCTGTGTCCCATGTCCCTTCTTGGGAATTCCAGCAGAGCCACTACTGAGCCCATGCAGAGCCAGTCCAGTCAGGAGGGAGAGAGTTTGCAAGAACTTGCGTAGATGATGTTTCCGTCTCACCCTTGGGAAGCCACAGAAGAAGCTGCTACCAAATGCTTTTCTTATGGATGTTTAGGTGGTTGGTGAGTCCTCTCTCCTCAGCCTCCAGCAGCTCCCTGATGCTGCTGAGCTCCACAGGTCTTCACATGCACTGCTCCCTCGTGGAAGTGGAGAGCATTCAAGCCAGGTCACACCTCTTCTTTGTGCGTGAGTGAAGTGCAGGAGAGATCACTCCTTGGCTTTCTCCTCTGTCAGAACCACAGCCAGCAATGGGTGGAGGCAGGATGCTCAGGGGGATGAATCCTAGAGACTCTTCTTGTTGCATTTCTAAACAGCCTGTTCTGTATTCTCCAAAGACTCTCCAGGAGCCTGGTTAGGAGGAGAAGATGCATCTGGAAAAGGGCAGCACAGCAGGATAAACTCTGCCAAGTCTAAAATTAAACTTAAGAGGGCTTAAGAGATCAGTTATACAAGATACCCAAAAATAACTTAGAATAAATCCTAAGAGGAACAGTGAAAGCACTGCTGACATCTTCAGTTCTCAGTGAGATGCATGTCTGCATGTGGAAGTATGAATGTGGTCTATAAATACCACCAGTGGTTACCATTGAAATTGGAGGAGGGGTTTCCAGTGCTCCAACAACAGGAACAATGAAGGGAAATGTCAGGAACTGACATCTGTCAGTACCCACACGTGTCAGGGAAACTCTGCACCTTGCCATGTAAGGAGATGCTGTGTAGATGCACAACAGCCTGTGCAGTTCCTGTAGTAGCAAATGCCATTCCCCTTTGCCTGTTTTGGGATAACATGCTGGAGAGTCAGGTATTTGTTAAAGATTTTCAGTAATGTGGCTTTGGATTCGGTGCATCCACAGGTGAGGGATGCTCAGTGTGAGTCAGTTAGCTTCAAGTCAGGTTAAAATAAAACTGTGGTAAAGTAATAGCTGGAAAAAAATACCCCAAACAAAACACCACAAAACCAGACCCAAACCACAGATCCATATGGCTAGAATGAAAAATCTTGCTTAATCTGCTTATATCAAGTTCAAATCTGAAGGTCACTCGCCCTATATTCCCTTGATTTTATGTCAGTGCATTCCTGAAACACCTCATGCCCTGGAACTCAGAGGCTCCGGATGAGAACATTTCCTACTTACACCACAGTGTCTGTTATAGTCCACCTGTTTCTCTGGAGGTCTTGGCCAGGGACCTGAAGTACACTACATGTGAAAGGAAGCTGGGCTTGCTCATGTCCCTACAGAGAGAGAAAGGATTACTACCAAGATGAGAGAGGAGCTAGAGATGTTCAGGTTGAGAATAAGGAACAATTTCTCCAGAAGGATAGTATAGTCCTGAGACCAGAGCAGAGGAGAAATGCCATCCTTAGAGTCACTAAATGATGGACATCACCATCCTTGAAGAATTTTGGGATTTGGCTGGGAAAGGCATGGATAACCTAGTCAGGTGTTAGTGACAGTCCTGCTCTGAACAGGACGCTGTCCAAGGGACATGCAGGGTCCTGCCAACACAATGCTGTGGGGTTGGTGTAATTTCTGTGATCCATCCCTTGTCTTTCTGTCTGTCTGCCCCAAAACGTAATAACTTACTTCTATGACATTCATTCTGCTCAAATATAGCCTGCCCTACCCACCTCTTTGGAAGTAGACATGGTGCTCTCATAAGTCAAGTGTCACTTCCTTTCCTTGAGTGTCCTCTGGGCAGTGCCTGAAATCAATAGTAGAAATCCTGAGTAGAAATCCTTCCCCTGCCATGGAGAGACTGAAACCTTCACTTCAGTGTCAAGTGAACCTTTTCTCTTATAGCCACTTAGACTCCAGACTGTGTGTACACTTCTCGGTGTATTCAGCATAGGTTTAAAACTGCAAAAAGTAAATAAAAGGTAGTAATAACAGCATTATAATAATAGGTTGTTATGTCAGCACAGCTATCATTTGAATAGCTACATTTATCCCAATCCTGCCGACAAAGACATCAGAAACATTAACATTTTATATTGGTTTGTGCATGTACTTAATTACAACTAAGGAAAAAATTACACCCTGACTTGGCCATCACTGCAGCATCTCACTGTTTATTCCTGTTTAATGGCTCACATTTCCTAAATCAGACTTTTGACTGCAATTAAAACATGAGCACAGCAAATAAAAAAATCCATCCTAGTCCTATAGCTGCCTCTGCATCAGTTAAAGTCTCAAAGGGCAAAACTGATTCTTCTCCATGACCTCTGGCAGGTGTGCTGGGCTCTGACTAGCTACTGAGCCACTGGGCACCTTGGAATACATCACATCAAAGGACACACATACACTTGGTGGATGGATGCACCTGGAACAGAGGAACTGTTTGATAATCTCTGATTGCCTGAAGAAGTCAAAAGAAAGGTCAAAGCATCCACCCTTAAAATACATTTCCTGTTCAGAAGCCATAGGCATCTCAAAAATACCAACACAACCAAAGGTGGAATCCTGAACAGAGTGTAATTTACTGTGCTAAGTGGATGCAGCAGCCACGAAGCAGAGGGAGTGGCACAGGCTGTGATGCTCAGAGCAAGGCATTGGTTTGCTTTTCAAACACTTTTTAAATGCTGTGCAATTTCTTAGCATCTTTGTGCTTCAGGTTTTGTCTGTCCTAGTCACACATGTTGCATCTATCTATGGAGACCTCTGTGCCCATGGCAATGCTGCCCAGGACTAGGAGGCTCAGTCACACCTGGTGGGGCACAGGCATTGTGCAATGCTGAGGAGAGCAGAAGTGTCAGTGAGAGAGACCTGTGCCCTCTCAGTGTTCCCTCTCTGCAGTGGTTTTCCCTGTGTCACTCCACCTGGAGCACAGCTTTGCTCCTGGCCTCGGGAAAGAGCATCACTGACCTGGTGGGTACAGCCAGCAAAGAATTGCTTTTCTTCCTTAACTGTATCCCATACTCCTGATGGAGGGACTGTAATCCTAACAGAGTGTCCACCCCTGTCAGCACAGTAGTTTTGATGCAGGATGGAGATACAGGTAAATGTTCTCTGTGTGGGACAACTCTGTAGTCCTGGAGACTTGGGTGGGAGCAATGACAGGAACTCTGGGCAGGAAGGGGAGGCAAAGCACAATGAATCAACTTCTGTCTCCTAAAATAACCCTTTTCTTTTAAAGGTGAAAAATGTCGAAGTTTTATTGACCTTGCCCCGGCTTCTGAGAAAGGTAAGACAATACAGCCAAGGCTTCTTCCCATTTTACAAATTCAATCAGTATTGTGTCTGGTCGTACATGAGTGCCAGGGGAAACATTACTTCCTCAGCACACAAGGACCTACATGTCATCCAGATTACACACAGCCAGGTGAAACAAATACCAAGGGTTTATGACAGCTGTTTGCTCAGTTTATGCAGATCTGTCATTTCTTTGATCTTCACTCAGATCACTGTCTTTCAGGAAAATAAAGATGTGCATTGTGATACAGACATTACCCACCTTCCTCTAGTGAGGAAGGACATTGTCTCTCCAGGCCATGGAGATATTTAAGGTCAGAAAAGTGCATGCACAGTACCAAATGTCTCTTTGTGAGAGGGAATCATCTAGATGCTTGTTTGGTTGGTTTACCCTGGTAAAAAGTTATATATAAAAGTACACAGAGGCAAAAATTTTCCTTACCCTGGTATTGGAGTTTAATTAATTAACTATTGAGAATTATATTGGAGAAGGGAAGGTTGTGTGGAGACCTCAAAGCAGCTTTCAGTATCTGAAGGGGCTACAGGGAGCTGGAGAGGGACTCTGTGTTAGGAGCTACAGTGATAGGGCAAAGGGTAACTGATGCAAATTGAAGGAGGGGAAATTTAGGTGTTAGGAAGAAGTTTTTCCTGTGAGTGTGGTGAGACACTTGGCACAGGTTGCCCAGGGAGGCTGTGGCTACCCCAACCCTGGCAGTGTTCAAAGTCAGGTTGGATGAAGCCTTGAGCAACCTGCTCTGGTGGGAGGTGTCCCTGCCCAGAGCAGGGGTTGGGTCTGGGTGATCTCTAATATCCTTTCTAACTCCTGAAATTCTATGATTGTATGAATTCTCAAAAGCAATTTAACCTGTATTTCAGAAGAGTATCTATAAGGAAAAAGGTGTATAGAGTTCAGCTAACCTGGGTGGCTGAGCCCATCCTGCTCCCAGCTCTGCCCACAGCTGCCAAGGTGCCCGAGCCTCACAGTGCCCTGCACACCACCCGTGGGCTTTGGGAGAGTCTCAGGGACAGGTGACAATTCCTGTCTACACACAGAAGTGATACCATTTTGTTAGATGACTTGAGACAATCAGAAAACCTTTTGGGCACACCTTACCTCAGTCAGGCCTGGCAGAGTGGCAGCAAGTGGCACAAGCAACGATTTGTCTGAATTGCTGATCTGCTGGAAAACAGAGAGAGAGGCAATTACCATTAACGAAGCAGGGGGATTGCAGTGAGGGGAACAGTCACAGAGAGTCTGTGTGAAACCCATTGTAAGCAAAGCCAAATAAATTATGCACATAAGGGAAGAAGGAGCCTGGGATTACTGCTGCTAATGGGCTCCGAGTTAAATCTCACACACACACAAATGGGACCTTGGGGCATAGCTGCTCTTATGAAACCACCAGCTCAATACTCAGCAGCAATCAGAAAACAAACCAACTGCTAGAAAGCATTACAGAAGGACTTGAGAGCAGAGCAGAGAGCATCCTGTCACATGAGGACTGGACACAGCTGAAGGCTTCACCTCTTTCTAACACACAGTGAGGTGTTTTGTCCTTTCTAGTGCAGCTTCCAGAAGAGCAGGAAGGATAGCAGGGTTCTGGAAAGTTCTCTACAGGGATGAGGGTAAGACTTTTCAGCCTGAAGGAGAAATGTGTGAGAGAAGATGTAAAGGGCATGGAAGAGGATGTAAAAGGAGTGGCAGAGGCAGCTTGGGGAATGGGAGCTCACTGCCTTTCCCAGCCCAGGGACTAGTGGGCACAGCATGGCACTTGGGAGACAGACTCAGAGCAAGCAGAAGGTGTCTGTTATAAAGGCTCTGGGGTGGGTTTCTGCTTTATCTGCTTTCTGTGGAACTTCATTATGGTGCATAATGCTTCCTTGCATCACCCACACACTTTCCAAAACAGCATTTAGTGCTTTACTTTTAGTATTTCTTTTGGCTGTGTGAAATGCTGTCAGCATTTTTTTCCAGGAGAATTTTAGAGTTACTGCATGATGTCAGTGGGTATTTCTAGACTATTCTGTTTTCCCTTTTTTGAGGAAGGAAGGTTCCTTTGGTATAGTGTTAGAAAGAAAATTTTATCTATTTCTGAAGTCTTTCTATGGAGTTGTCAGGTGTATTGGCAGAAAGAGAGGAGAATGCTTTGTCAGAGATGGAAAGTGCTGACCATCAGACTCATAAACAAACCCAGGATGAATTTCACAACTGTAGATCAAGTTGGATGCTGCAACATAGTTAATCTGAACTTTTCACCATCAGTCTTGTACTGTCCAGAGATACTTACACCACATGTGAAGAGAAAATTGTGTGTCAGTGGCATCCAAGTTATTTTTACTGAAGAATTCTTTAATTTCTTGAGTTAACATGCTCTTTTCCAGTTAGAAAGAACTTCCTAATTCTTTAATTTCTTCATCCCCTCACTCAATGTTGACTTTAATGGTCAGAGGTTTGCCAGAGCTGGGACAGATTCTTGATTCTTCTTCCAAGTAAATGACATATGATAAAATAGTAAAATTTGAGTTTAGTTCCTCAGACATTGTGGTTTTCACAGTTCATTGTGTAACTGAGAAATTTTGGACTAAACTTACCTTCACAATGAGACTTTGGCTCGCTCAGTTCCTGTATATATTCTTAGCATCACTTGCCACCAAAAAGTGGTTGTTCAAGGGTTTGATTATCTGAAATGTCTCTGTAGCACATACTCCATTACTGCAGCTGAGTGCTCTTCCCAGAGCTGTTTTTCCAGCTGGTTTTCCCTCATCCAGAGAGCACCTCTGTCTGAGCAGCTTCTAAGCTAAAAACAGCCTCTTGAAGACTGTGCCTACTTCTGAGCACATCATCTTCCACTTTTAAGACATGCTAAAAAGAGGCCTAAGAACAAACTTAGCCTAGTTGTACTACCAGTCTCATCTAGATTCCATCACCAGCTAACAACAAGGCAGTATAAAACTTCCTTAACATTCAAAAACCATTTTAGCATAGGAAAACCAATCATCAAAACTCACAGTAAATAAAGTGCTGTGCTGAGGCCTAGCTACATCCTCAGTACAAACCTTGCCTTCATCACTGAAAACGTGTCTTACTCTGTAAAAATATACAAAAAGGCTTTAAAATTCTAATAGTTTCTGGCTGAGCTTCCTATCTTTATCCATTAGTGCTGATCTCCAGTGTAGCTGGATACTGACTGTATCTCTGATCAGTTATTATACCCTTTGCATATATCTCACCAATGACATCTACTGAAAGGAGGCAGCAAAATTTGGGGCAAACAGACCCACAGTATGGTATAAATAAGCATTTCCAACCCACACTAGGAGAGCTTTTTCCTGCATTTAAGGGAGCTGCCAGCAATCTGTCAGAACCTCATAAGCCTAACATTGAATTTATTAGCTGTTGCTGGTTCTTAGTGCCAAATCTGCTTAACAAAATCAGCTTCGTGATGGTAGATAATAACTAGAAAAAAAACATTTTCTTGTGACAGTTTACATTTGCTATTGATAAGAACTGATAGGGCAATAGCTGGTTACAGTGCTGAGGACTTTTAATGGGCTCTCAGCGAGCAGATGTTGGGTCCCACAAAGTCTGCTGCTTTCTAATTTGCTTTACAGATGTGAGCAGTAAGATAGCAAGTATCTCCAAAAGGAGTTGGAAGGGAACTGTCATAGTAGGCTGGACCAGATTTTCAGTTCTAAATTGCTTCTGGGATCTTCTCCACAAAACAAGGTTTTGTGACTATTTTGCTGCCTGAAGAAATAAAGGGTAACCTATTTAGTAAGAGAGACTTATGTCCCTGTTGCAGTGCTCAACCAGAACAGTGAGGCTGGGACACACTCCACTGTGCTCCTCCTCCCTTCTGGGTGCACCTTCTAGCTCTCCTTTCCCATTGCATCAAATCTGTGCCCAAGAGGACTTCCAAGAGGCTATGAAGAATACATTCAAAAGGAAGAAACCAAGGCCAAAATTTATATCTGGAAGCCATGTAAAGCAAAAGGTAGTGATATGCCCCCTCAAATGATGTGCTAAATGGCTTTCCTGACCAGATAATACCACAGCTGGATGCATACAGAGGTGTGTTCCTCCCCCTGGAGCCTGGTCTGAGTTACTCTAATGCTCAGTGGGGCCTCACTTCAGCTGTGATAACTATGGAATAATACCCACAACAAATGGCAGAGCAGGAACTGCCTGAATTGCTCTGCTTTCTACTCATTTATAGGGAAATTCATATGCATAAACCAAACAAGACTTTGTAGAGACCACAGAGGTTGAGTCAAGACAAAACCTTGCAGAAGGAAAATGCTCATTGCCAGTGAGCTTTTAACAGTCCAAAATGTTACAGGGGACTTTTTAAATTGGAGATTGTCCTGGCAGAGTTAGAAAATGCCTTCTGCATGTCCTCTACACTGCTCATGATGAGACATCCTGGAGAGATGAAGCCATAAAAAATCTGTATTGTCTAAAAAGTAGCTGGCAATGCTAAGGTAGCACATGGCAAACACCAGAAAACAAATCAAGTCTCTTCTAACCACAGCACAGAGAAAGAGAAAGCTGATCCCACTCTGTACATGCTTCTAAACCAGCACTCCAACAGCAATTAATGAGAAGAGAAACTCAATGTCTGATTTTAATGGATACTGACATAATAGGTGTACCAGAAATTTGAGGGGAGAAAGATAATTAGTGGGACAATAATGTCTCATACCAGTCACACTGAAAGACAAAGCAGATGTCATGTACTAAAGCTGAATCAGAATAACAAGGTAGTGTCATTAATGAGCAACACAATCTCCATGGATGGATTCCATGGTCAGATGAAAAATGCAGAATGATATTTGTGGTCACCCATTGGGACAGCTCCATAGAGAGCAGGGATAAACTTGAGAGCAGAGAAGGTGTAAGGACAGAAAACAGTAGGAGCAGACTCTAAAACCCTGTGCACAGGCTCTGCTTGGTGTGATGCAGAGACTCAAATTTGGACAAACTTTATGAGC